GACTGGGCAAAACTGCACTTCTTTTGGTTAGCTTTCAGTTGATGCTCCTGTAGGATCTTCATAATCTCCTTCAAATGCTCCAAGTGCTCCTCCTTCGTTTGGCTGTACACCAAAATGTCATAAAAAAAACTAGCACAAACTTCCTGAGATGTTGCCGGAACACCCTATTCATTAAAGATTGAAAAGTAGCAGGGGCGTTAGTGAGCCCGAAAGACATCATCAAGAACTCGTAATGCCCCTCATGCGTTCTGAAGGCCGTCTTCTGAATATTCATCTACTTCATTCTGATTTGGTGGTAGCCTTACTTCAGGTCCATCTTAAAAAACACTACTGCTCCGTGCAACTCATCTAGTAACTCGTCAATCACCGGAATAGGGAACTTATCCGGCACTGTCTCCTTGTTCAACGCCCTGTAATCCACGCAAAACCTCCAACTCCCATCCTTCTTCTTGACTAGTAGGACAGGTCTGACTATTTCTTCCTCCAACATCTCCCTGATCAGCTTCTCGATTTCATCTTTTTGAATTTGAGGGTAGCGGTAAGGTCGAACACTAATTGGTGACACCCCATCCTTTAGATGATTGCATGCTCTGGCTCTCTGGGTGGTGGTAAGCCCTGAGGTGGCTGTAACACCTCCCTGAATTGCTGTATGAGCGGTTACACCACCAGTGGAATGTCTCCTTCATCGCCCACACTCACCCTCTCCAAGCGCTGCAGCTCAACCAGATATCCACCTCCCACCTCCCACCTCTTGTATGGATATGATCATGGATTTGAGAGATACCCCAGCCTTGGTCAGGCCAGCATCACCTTGAATCGTTCTCCTTCTTCCTCCCATCACAAGTTCCATCCTCAATGTCCCCTAATTGATCTTGGTCTCCCCAAATGTTTGCAACCACTTCATCCCTAGAATGACGTCAGCACTCCCCAATTCCAAGGGAAGGAAATCCTCCCTTATCTGGATCCCCTGAATCTTCAGCACTACCCCTCTACAAACTCCTCTACCCATTTCCACCTTTCCCGTGCCCATCATCACCCCATAGGCTCTTGTATCCACCAACTCCATCCCCAACCGCTCAACGATCTGGTTGGAAATAAAATTGTGGGTTGCCCCACTGTCAATCAACACCATCACCTCACGGTCAGCTATCTCTCCTTCACTTTCATAGTGTGGCTCAGAGTGAATCCCACTACAGAGTTCAGAGAGACTTCTGTCACATCCAGGAGCAGCTTCTCCTCCTCTTCAGATTTGCTCCCACCTCCCTCCTCGTCTTCCTCGTCTTCACAGATAAGGAGAACTTGAAGAGTTCGGTCCTTACACCGATGCTCCGGCATGTACTTCTCATCACATCTGAAGCACAACCCCTTTGCCCTCTTGTCCTGCATCTACTTCTCTGTCAGCTTTTTGAATTGTCCCCCATCCCCCCCTCAAGTTTTTTCCTTTGGCGCTTCTTTCAGACTCCCTGACGCTCTTTTGATGGTAGGAAGGTGGTAGTCATCTTGTATGATCCCCCTCAATAGTTCCCCCGAGCTCCTCTTTTTGATTTCTTCAGATCTTCCATCAACTGCGCCAGCTCCATAGCCTTCCCTAGGTTCCTCGGCTCTAGCACCCTAACTGCTGTTCGTATCTCAGGTTTAAGCCCCTTCATGAAGTTCCCTTCTAGGGCTGACTCTGAAATGTGCTCCAATCTGCTAGCCAAGTACTCAAACTTGTCCTGGTAATCTGCCACAGTCCCCTCTTGAGTTAAGGCAAAGAATTGCTCATAGAAGTCTCCTCCCCCATCGGCTCGGAAACGCTCTAATAAGCAATATTTGAACTCTCGCTAGCTCTGGATGGGCTCCCCCTGTCACGCCACTGATACCATGCCAAGACTTTTCCTTCCAAACACAATCCCGTCGCCGTCAGCTTCTCTTCCTCTGTCAAACCGTTGACAACAAAGTAATGCTCCTCCTTGTAAATCCAACCATGGCCGTCTTCACCCTCAAAGGCGCATCTTCAGTTTCCTCACCCGTGGGTCTCCCCCGTGTCCCCTGAATCCTCCATAACCTCCCATTTCTCAAAAAGGAGGTGCTCCCCAACTGTCACGATCTTCTCTCCGGTGATTATACCCGAACCCTTCATCGTATTCCCTTCTTCTCCCTTCAAAATCAGCGTCTCGGCAATGAAATTCTTCCATTCTCCCGACGAAATTAGTACCCCTCTGGTCATTTCCCAAACTCATCTCCTCTCTAAAGAGTTGCTCTAGAGGTGGCATGTCATCCTCCCCCTCAATGACCTCCACTTCCGGATTTCTCCTCTCCCTAAACGGCCTAAACGGGTTCGGATTCCCTCCTACACCATGGCCTCCGGTGGTCTCTCTTTCTCCGATGTCGTAAGATTTATCTTCAACTCTAATAGTTTCTTCAGCCTTTCTTCCATCACCATGAACTTCCCTCTATCCTTTTATTGTTGGAGGTGATTTGAGTTTGAAAGTCAAAAAACTTTCCCTCCAAATCTGATTTTAGTTGACCAATCTCGCCTTCCAAGACCTCGACCTTCTTCCCGGCCATCTCTTCCCAAGAAACACGAAGATCTTCTTCCGGTAAAAAAATTTCCGCCTAAATTTCAGGATTCAGCCTCCGACGGTCCCAAATCGGCGCTCTGATACCAATTTAGTAGGAAATACTTGAGTTCGCAAGTAACCCTAAGGTAATACTTGAGTTCGCAAGCAAACCTAACCCAAATCGGTGAACAAATAGCGACTGGACTGCTGTCCACAGCAGGCGCGACTCAATGCGGATGCCTCGTCCGCTTTTTTAATGGTTGGCTGGTTGTATTTTCTGGTACCTACTAAGCTTGGTGTCACAAAAATGTTAAAATTCAGTCAAAATCAACTTACAAACAATAGCAAAAAAGAAGCACTCAAAACTCACAAGAAGTCCTATAAAAATAATAAAATATTAACCAAATGGACTTGCATGGACTTTGGTGTCTCGCCAATGATCGTGATCATGATTACCTTACTATTCCCTTAGAACACTATGAACTTGAAATTGAACATGAAAATTGCATGCAAAATACTCCTATTTAATAGGTGTGGATGCTTCCTTCATGGGACCTATCTCGGCATTAACACAAACAAAATATTAGTTAAACGATATTATTTCAAGTATTCTCCAAAACTTAAGCGAACAAAAATTAACCGCTCGTGCAAACAAAAAAATGTACACTAAAAGGTTGACAATTGAACAAAATGCAGCTAAATATACACAAATGGGAAAGTATTTGCAATTTAACAACGATGGTGCAGTTAACAAAGGCATGAAAAAGTTGAACTAGTATAACTTGAAGTTGCGGACATACTTCACAAAGTAAAATTCAGTTCAAAATGGATATCACGAGAAGTCATGCATGTGATCCGAAAAACTTACTAACCCACCAAAATGCAAAACAGGACATATTACCCACATTTACAATTATACCAGTGATTAAAATGTTCATCTGCAGCTTGAAGATATTGACAAAGCTCTGACGTGTTAAGCAAAATCTTAAACATTTCCATGCTTGGATGTCCATAGCATAGCAGGAGCTCGTGCAACACCATACTTGGATGTCCCATGCACATGATAAACTTGTTTGACCCCAAAAATTTTATAGTTTCACATCTTGTCCTAATTGCTATGTAGGTTTACAAATCTCAATAAACATAAATGTCCTAGCAAAAAAATGAAAATTGAAATTACAGTGACTTCATAAATGATGTGCATGCTTATTTTGGAAAATATGAGTCAAATGAAACTTCCTTGAAGAATGTGCAAATACTATAAAATGATGCAATTAATTATGTCCTTGAGCAACTTCTTACCGCATTGTGCGCATGCATGCTTGAGTAAGTTGTTGGGTTGATAAATGCCTTTATATTTATGATATTTTTGAATAAAAATGGATTAAAAGGTGAACAATAAGAGTGAAAAAGAAATAAAGACAAATCTAGAAAAAAAAAGAAAAGTATTAGAAAAAGTTTGGAAATTTTAAAAAAATGTTTAAAGTATTTCTACTTTAAATGTAATGATAGACCATCACAATTCTAAAAATGATAAAGGAGGGAGATAACATCGAAAAAATATGGGTTTCTCTTGCATGAGATGTGCCAGGGGTCGAGTAAGGGCAATATCTTGATGATAGACAAAATTTTAAAAAGAATACAAAAATAAATGCTGGGCCAATTTACTACATGGCTAGATCATATGTTCTAATAATTAGGCCAGATATTTTATATGCTATGAGTGGAGTTGACAAAACCCGTATCTCGACAAATGCTTGTGATAAAAGAATGGTCATAAATATCTAGGTTGTCTCATTGTGAACTAGGGGTAATTTATTCTAACTCAAATCCCACTCCCACTTGAATATTTTTTTTTTTAATGTATTTGCATAAGGCCTTCACGCTCTTTTTCTTTGAAAATTTATTTAAAAATAAACAAACTCAATTTGGCACCTTCTTTACAAAGCAGGGTCATAGGTTTCAATCTTTGGTTTTCTTTATTATTGGAGATGTAAATTTCATTTGTAGGCCCAGTCCTCTAAATATGGGGGCTTAGTAGATAGGCTCATATCTCAATAATTTTTTGTGGCTTCATAAGGGGTAGAGTAGTTATGGTCCATTGCTCGATTAGTTTTTGTAGTCCGATCCACTATTTTTGTCTCATATATGCTTCTTTTGTTGTTTGATGGTAAGAACTAAGTACTTATCGTCTGCATTGAATGATGAGCTCCAATTATGCTTATTCTACTTTTTATTTATGGTTTTTTTACTGTATTGTGTTGGGACATTAACTTCTATGCCCATCAATCTTCGTACTAAATTTAGCATTTATCAGTGCACATCTTTTTCTTCAAAATGTCAGAAAGATTGTTTTATGGGGAATGGCAATGATTACTCTTTTTCAATCATTTCCTGAAGTATTATTTTATGAGTGTTTTTTATTCATAATAAAATATGCTGACGGGTAATCAACAGGTATTGGAAAAGGATTTGGCAATTTTTGGGTTTTTTATTGCTTTGGGCAGAAGATCTCAGTCATTCTTATCATCTAACGGCTTTACCATGACGGAGAACCCAATTGAAGGAATCATAAGGTGCAGTTGTAGGAAATCTAGCACTTTTTATTTATTTTAAGTTAAACTAGCTATGATTAGGCACTACTCTTTATGTGCTTTGATTTTATGTTTCGTTACTTCGTAGGTATCTTATAGGGGGCAGTGTGTTATTCTATCCTCAGTTGTCATCCATAAGTTCATATCAGCTGTATGTGGAAGTACGTAATCAACCATTTCCATGTTATCATCATTATACCATCATCAGCATCTTCATTAATCCTATTATCTTTCTCACTAGTCTAGTAATTTTTTAAAACTTTATATGCATTCCTTTTTCCACCACAGGTTGTTTGTGAAGAATTGGAGTGGGTCCCCTTTTATGGCAGTAACTTATCTAACATAAAACAGATTCATGAAAATATGGTCAAACAAGAAAGAATTTCTCAAGAAGAAGCAATTTCCCATGTCTTGGATGTGTGCTCATATTGGATGACAAGCTTTATCAAATATAGTTCATGGCTTGAGAACCCATCTAACATTAAAGCAGCAAGATTTCTTGCTAGAGGGTACATCATCTTTAAGCTTGGATTTCTTGATTTTTTGTGCTACTATGTTAATATTTAAACTATTACTATAAGATTAATGTTTTTTTGTGCCACATGCTTCAATCCTTTGGTCCTTTTTATTGACAAAGTTATGATATGTTAGTTACCTTCATGCTTTCTCTTATTTTTAGGCACAACATGCTAATTGAACATATGAATGAACTAGGGGTGTTAAGGTAATTAGAACCTTTAGATTCTTTACTTTTCATCTTCCTCTATCTAGACATGTTGATTCTCACAGATAATGTTGATTATTGAACAATTTTAATATAAGCTGCAGGAACAGAAAGAAGAAGGTTGCTGTAGAACATCAAGGTCAACAACAAACTGAGCTTTTGTCTATTGAGAAAGAGAAGGATACTTTTGATAAGGTGTTCCTCAAAGTTTTGGTTAATGAATACCTCTATTTTTTGTTTATTTGCTATTTTCCATGGCAATGAACAAGTAGTCCTGTTTTGTGCAATGCTTGACGGGACATTCAATAATCTTATTTTACGAAGTGTTTCATATCTTCCTCATTTTAGCTAGAAGTAGGGCTTTCAGTGGCAACAGGGGGAAGAGGGAGTGTAGGAAGGTTTTTTACTAATCACTGAATCTTGGTAAATTTGAATAATTGGAAGCGTATCTTTCATATTATCCATCTCATAAAGAAAGATTTGAAAGCATTTCCTTTAATCTTTCCCATGAAGTGTTTTTGGTTCAAACCAAATTTAGTTCCAGCCTTCCAAGAGTCTTTATGAATTGCGTGGCTACCTCAAAACTCATTCCCATCACTTGAATTAGTAAGTCCCCAAGAGAAAGAGAGAACATTTGCTTAAGTAGTATTGATTATCCTGGCTTAAACTGAAATTTAAAACTCAAAGTGGATAGTTATATCATTCATGCTTATTTGGTTAACAACAGGGTCTCAGTAAGATTGTTGCAACGTCCCATATACCAAGTATATCGTTTTTCAAAATTATAAAAAAAATGGTTTTCCTTTCCTTTGATTGGATGATTACCTAGAATTCATATGGATAACATTTTAAGATTTAATTTTGTCCATGCTTTGAAATGTTTGCTTTAAGTCAACATTTTGTTAGCTAGAACAATTTAGTCACTCTCGTGAGTTGCAAGCTCATTTTTCCTAAATTTCCAATTGGATCTTTTAATTCCCGTTTTGGGAAAAATATTTGGTTTGTGATTGCAGACCCTTGAAAGTGTTGAGGAAGCTTTGGTTCGGTTAGAGAATTTGCTGCAAGAGCTACATGTTTGTAGCTCAAACACTGGAAAAGAGCATCTAAAAGCTGCTTGTTCTGATCTTGAGAAAATCAGGAAGCTCAAGAAAGAGACTGAATTTCTTGAGGCTTCTTTCAGAGCTAAGGCGGATTCGCTAGAGCAGGTAAAATTCCCCAAGCCCATTCTCTAGAAACCAAAGTTTTATTAAGACTTAGAAAGCATGTTATGGATTCAAAGGTTTTATGCAACTTTCTTTTATCATCATCATTTTTTTTGTATTTTCTTTTGATAGTTTATTTTTTTTGTTCCTGTAATTTCAATTTGAAGTTCTTTAGAATTAAATGAGAATTTGACTCTTAACAGGACATAATGGAGAAAAATGATTCATGTAGCCGATCCCTTAGTGGAATAAAAACTTGATATTGTTGTATGTTTCAATTTGAAGTTATGTTAAATTCACCGTTATAACTTGATAGCATGTTGAATGTGTGAATATTTTGGGCAGACACTGCCTACTCCTTACTATTAGTTTATGCTAGCGGACTTTTCTTCACCTTCCATTTTTATTGTTGTTTTTTTTTTTTTTTGAGATTTACGACATATAATTCATTTCAATTAAACAAAGCAACAAATATGTAAGTCGAAGCAAGTAGCGCAGCTATCTTGTCTTCTGGAGTTGTTGACCACTATTCTTTCTCATTTTTCACTTTTCCTTTAGAATCTTATCATAAATTCTTCGTATCTAATGTTCATATTTTTTCTCTGTTTGTCATTGAAATTGACTCATGAAACCTTAGTCTTATGAGTTTGGGCAACAATAACCAATTTCAGAGACATTTTTGTATGGCACATTTTAACTTCATCCAACCATAAGGTCTAATGAGTTTTGGTCCACCTGCCCACCTATCTGTTCGCTGATGCATCTTATGCTGTACAGCTATTAAATTGACTCACCTATAATATTTGGAAGTTTGGACTTAGTTATCAGTTTTACATGTTTTAGGGGGGCACTGACGATGATTCACTCTCAGTTCGCCAGAAAAGTTTTCCAGAAATGGATGTGGAAGCATCTATTTCTAGTAAAAAAGCTGAAAAATCTGGTAACAGGTACACACGTATTTAGGTTATTTCTTAGGATTTTCTTCAAATCTGTAATGCACGTTGGACTGAACTGCTGCACTGTATTGAAATGTTTAAGTTTTGCTAAAAGGGTTGCAATCTTCATTCCTCTATTCCTTTTGAGTGGTTGATGAAGCTTTCCTATGGCAGGTTGGCCAATAAACCTCGCGGGTTCTGGAATTTCATGACACGTAATTTAAGCAGGAGAGAGCCTACAATAGCAACACGAGATCAAAATGTATGGCACCCGAGGAACAAAATCTCACTAGCTGCTATTCCATGTTAAATTATTTTGTTGCAAGATAAATTCTTCTATCATATTGGAGTTGCTGCCGTTGGTGATTGAATAGTTTTACAAATGTTTGTCTATTATAATACAAATATGAGCCACATTCAAATTTTGAGTTCATTTTGGCCATCTGAATAATAATAGAAATGTTAGCAGTAGTTTAACGATGTCAAAGGTTTATTTTTTGTTGTATTTTTTTTTCTGATCATGTTGCTATAGTTTGCATAATTCATTCAGGTTGATTCATCTAAATTGGGGACTGACGAGTCTAATTCAAATGAGAGGCACAGATTTGAGCATTTGAGGAATGAATTAATTGAACTTGAGAGGAGGGTACAACGAAGCACCGATGATGCTCAAAATGTGGAGGTAAGTTTTGATGACATTTTTCCTATATAAATTACGAATGAGTACATGCAAAATCTCTTCTTGGGTTTTCTAGGTTAATTTATCTCTTATGATGAAATCTTTCTTTCTATGAATCACATAATGCACAGATCATAAAAAGTTGGATAAAAACACGGACACATAATATGCCATTGGACATCTATGAGAGGGCACACATGCAAAACAAATAGATGTTTTTTCACATTAAAGGCAAGTTCCCGTAAGATTAACCAGTGTGTCATATACTAACAGAGTAACAGGTCTAATTCACGGTTGACACATTGATTTTTTTTTAAAAAAATTTTAAATAGAAACCGGGTGTCTCATGCAAATTATATTTATTCTCTGAAATTTACAATCAAATGTATTTCATGGTACTAGTGGAATGTCCTTGTTATTAATGTTAATTTGTACTCTAGCTATATGTGTCGTTGGGATTGTCTTGTGACTAGGTTAGAGTATGCTGTTAGCGAACAATTACCTGTACCTGCTGACGTGTCATGTTATTTACGGTTTTACCTCTTGTACATCTATATAACCTCCTGTACTCTCATTTACATGATATACAATATACAGTTTTCTCTCTGTCTTCTCCCTTTCTGCGATTACCTTGGCTGCTCTCTTTCATGGTATCAAGAGCCAACCATGGGGATCAAGAATTAGCCGCCTCCCTCACTCCCCCTTCTTCTACCATTTCCGAATCTCCCTCAGATCTCTCCATCCCAACTTCTCTAACGTTTCTCATTGCCAACATCATGAATCTCCTACCAAATCCTATCACCACCGAAAGTTACGCGATCTGGCGAATTCAAGTTCTTCAACATGTCTCGGCAAATGGCTATGTCGGACATCTCACCGCTGCTAGCTCAACCGTCCTCTACCATCATGCAAAATTGGATTTTGGACTCTGGCGCGTCATCTCACATAACTCTGGACAGCACTAATCTTCACCAACCTGTCCCTTATCAAGGATCGGATGCGGTATCCATCGCTAATGGGAATTCTTTACCCATTCACAACTCCGGTCAAGGTCTGCTCCCTCTACTGGATACACCTCGTAAGCTTCGCCTGCGTAACCTTCTCCATGTACCATCTCTTACACACAATCTCTTATATGTCTCTAAACTTATTTAAGATAACTCTGTCTCCAAATGCTTTGACACTAACAGTTTTGAAATCAAGGATCTACAAGACCATCAACCGCTTCTTCGTGGGCATCTTCATGGCGGTCTTTATCAGATTCGACTATCCCCAGGTACCTCTCCTACAGCCCTTCACGCCAACACCACATCTGCTCATCTTTGGCATGCTCGTCTCGGACTCCTGCACAGCTGTCTTCTTTCAATTCTTGCTAACCGAATACATGAAATAACCTCTGTATCTTCGTCTTTTACTTGCACTTCATGTAAAGTGGTCAAGAGTCACAAGATCTTGTTTAATAAAAGCATTTCAGTATCATCTTTTCCTTTTGATCTCATTCATTCCGACGTCTGGGGACCGGCCCTACAACAGTCTTTGGATAACTTCTGCTACTATGTCATTTTCATTGATTATTGTACTCGTTTATCATGGTTGTATCTGATGCACTCCAAAAATGAAACATTTGCAAAATTTAAACTACAAAATCTTCTTCTTTGACGGCGGCGGCGAAAATTCACGAGTAACGCATTCGAATCATTTTTACAAGAACAAGGCACAACATCAAATTAGCTGTCATCACACTCCTGAATAAAACCGTCTAGCCGAGCGCAAACACAGACATCTACTCGATCTCACTCGCACAATGTTACATGCCTCAAATCTTCCACACCAGTTTTGGGCCGAAGCTCTCTCAACAACTAACTATCTCATTAATAGACTTCCATCCAACATGATTCATTTCCAAACACCATTCCATCGTCTCAATGGCAAACATCCTTCCTATTCTCACTTCGCGCTTTCGGCTCTCTCTGCTTCCCGTGGCTCCAACCATACACATCCAACAAATTCTCACCACGCTCACAAGAATGTATCTTTCTAGGTTATTTCCTTTCTCCACAAAGGATACAAATGTTTTAATTTAACCTCCAGGAAGATACATAAATCCAGACATGTCGTTTTTCACAAGCATATCTTTCCTTATCAAAACCCTATCTCCATCTCTACTACTACTCCACCCTTATCAAAACCCTATCTCCATCTCTACTACTACTCCACCGTCAACCAACAATCTCACCTCCCCTCTCTTGCTAATTCCTACCTCTCTTGCTTCAGGTTCAAACAACCTTCACTCATCCACACCTAAGCTCATACCTTCTCATCCGGCCCCTTCACCCAGCACATCAACTAGCTCTCTCACACACACAACAAGCAACAATCCCACACCTCTGACTACAACTTCACCTACTCCGCCGTTACCACCTCCTAACTCAAATCATCCGATGCAAACAAGGTTGAAATCCGGCATCTCCAAACCTAAACAAATTTTCACACTTATCAGCACTACTCCCTCTCCTTCCACACCGAACACGTACTCCAAGTGGCAAAATTCGAACACCGGCGTGCTGCCATGTCAGAAGAATTCAACGCTCTTCGAAAACAAGGGACTTGATCTCTAGTGCCCGCTCCTCCAAACAAACCGATTCTAGGTTGTAAATGGATGTTTAAAACCAAAATACTTCCTAGTGGTCAAGTGGAACGCTACAAAGCCTGCCTAGTTGCTCAAGGTTACAGTCAGAAATTTGGCATTAATTACACCGAAACGTTCAGCCCGGTTGCAAAAATGCCCACTATATGCATTCTTCTCACTCTAGCCATAAATCAGAAATGGCCTATGCTCCAACTAGACGCCTCCAGCGCCTTTTTACACGGTGATCTTCCGGACAACATTTACATGTGACAACCTCCAGGATTCGTTGATCCAAATCTTCCGAATTCAGACTGCAAATTACAGAAATCTCTATGCAGGCTTAAATAGGCACCTCGCCAATGGTTCCAGATGCTAACAAGTTTTCTACAATCTTATGAATTCGGGTTCAATCGTTCCGATCCCTCACTACTTATATTTCATCGCAATCGTATTCAGATTTATTCTCTAATTTATGTTGACGATATTCTTGTCACAGGGAATGACTCTGCCGCAATTCAATCACTTCTCAAGCAACTTCACTCTCAAGCAGCTAGGCCAGATATCTCTCTTCCTCAGAATACAAGTTCTCCAAACACCAGCAGGCGTCATTCTCACTCAACAACATTACGCAACCAAACTTCTTCAAGACGCTGGATTCAAGGACTGCAAGCCGACACCCACACAAATCACTCCAAAATATAAACTCCAATCCGACAACAATCAATTGTTCCACGATCCTATACGGTTTATCAGAAACTTGCCGGATTACTTCAACATCTCTCAATTACTAGACCGGATATAGCTTTCGCTACCAATTCAATATGTCAACACATGCAAAAACCTACAGTGCAAGACTTTCAATCTCTCAAGCGTCTTCTCTGCTACATAAAAGCCACGTTGTCTTTCGATCGACCTCTAACTACGGGGGATCTACAACTCTGTACCTACACCGACGCCAACTAGGCATCCGACTCAATGGATCGAAAGTCCATCTCCAGGTTTTGCACATTCTTGGGTCGAAATCTCATTTCCTGGTCCGTCAAGAAACATGTAACAGTTGCCAAATCATCTACAGAAGTTGAATATAGGTCGCTCTCCGCTACCACTTCCGACGTCATCTGGCTTCGCCGACTAGTGGTCGAACTTCATATACCACAAACATCTCCAACAATTATACATTATGACAACATCTTAGCCATAGCATTTGCGAAGAATTCAATCTTTCACGCACGAACCAAACATATCGAGTTTGATTTACACTTCATTCGTCAGCATCTCAGCTTCGATGACATCATTCTCACCCACATCTCCTGAAATGATCAGATAGCCGACATTCTAACCAAAGCTTTCTCTCTTGTTCGCTTCCATGACCTTCGTTGCAAATTAACCATTAGTCCAACGAATGATTAATTTGAGGGGGGCTGTTAGCGAACAATTACATGTACCTGCTAACGTGCCATGTTATTTATGGCTTTACCTCTTGTACATTTATATAACCTCCTGTACTCTCATTTACTTGATATACAAAATACAGTTTTTTCTCTCTCTCTTCTCCCTTTTTGTGATTACCTTGGCTGCTCTCTTTCATCTGCTTGTAATACTTGAGTTGTGTCAGGTTTGACTTTTGCTGATTGGTGGATCTCTTTGTGTGACCACTCGTAGTTGTTGTAATCTTTTTATTCATCTGCCAACACTTTTTTTATTCAACATAAAAAATTATTATTATTATTATTATTATATAACATTTTCGATTTTTGATAATAGCTATTTCTGATCTCTAGCCCCTGAATAAGAAACAAAGATTAAGGCTATAGGTAAGTATCCAGTAGCATCAAAACTAATAAAATGAATCCAAATTTAAATTTTATTAGTGCTTGGATGTTGCTTAGAAGAGACCCGCTAAAATATAACACAATTATGGTGAGTAGGCAAGGGTAGGACAGATGTCACTCTTAAGTGATGCAAAATATCTTGCATGTCTGTGGTGAAAAGTAGTGAGGATAGGTTGAGACGTCACCTTAAAGTGATGTGCTATAACTTTACTTGATTGTGTAGAGAAGTAAGAAAGATCCTATATATAAGATTAGATTTGCTTCATGAAATCTAAGAATTTTGAATTTTAAAGATAAGAGAATTATTCTACACAAAAAATTAAAGGAAGAATAAATATTGCCTCCTTATAAAAAAATTAAATGTAAAGGAGAAAAATCAATGACATTGGCCTATGTTTTAGCTATTGTATGTTGAAAAAGTTAATTATAGAAATTATTATAATAATGAGTTTGTTGAGATGGATAAGGTTAGTGATTAGGTGATTGCTATTGAAATAATTATCAGTGAGGATATTATGAATGTGGTTAGTGCTAATTCACCT